GAAAGAGGACATGCTTCAGCACGAACCACGCTGTGCCCTCTCCGCTTTCAAGTCCTTAACAATACAAAGAGCAGAACTCAGGCACACCTGCTGGCAATTGAGAAAGGGAACTTCTGGTGCTGTTCTTTCTGTAGGCACCATCGCACTGTCAAGACCAACAAGACTTCCAAGGTATGAGATTTTGAGAGTCAACGCTCCCTTCGTCAGGTAGGAGGGAAGGGAGTTTTGACTCTCAAAAGCTTAAACCTTGGAAATCTTGTTAGTCTAAGGTGCTACTGGCCCCTGGTTCTTCTACTGCAGACCAACACCTGAAACTATCTTGTAGGATCTGCTGGGGGGGGGGGGAGAGAGGAGTTAATAATAATAACAAAGGAGAAGAAGAGATTGGGTTTATACCCCGCCCTTCCCTCGAAGTCTGAGAGTGGCTTACAATCTCCTTCCCCTCCCCACTGAGAGCTGAGAGAGCTCTGAGAGAACTGCCCTTGAGAGAACAGCTATCAGAGAACTTGCGACTGACCCAAGGTCACACCAGCAGCTGCATGTGGAGGAGTGGGGAATCAAACCCAGTTCTCCCAGATTAGAGCCTACACTCCTAACCGCTACACCGAACAAAGCCAGAAAGGCCTGGGCAGAATATAGCAGAATGTCTATGTTCAAGGGCACAATGAAAACAAAAAAGAAACAAAAGAACAAAAAAGGGAAAGATGCAGTTAATTCAGGATAAAGCTTATTACTGAATATCAAATAAAAGCAGAGGGCCAAGAAATCCACTGACGGCACTTCCCAATTGAAAACAACCCCATTTATTTGATTAAAAATTGCAGGAAGAAAAGTTGGGGGGGGGGGGCTGAGGGGGAGAGGGCACAGAAACTGTGATGCCGTTTTAAAATTTATGAATGTTGATATCTTACCTTTCAAACCTAGTGTTTGCAGCTGGAAGAGCCGACCAAGTTCATAAGGCAAAACTCGTAACAAATTGTTGTTTAAAAGCAATTCCCTAAAAAACAGAACGTATTACTGATATCAGCTTAAACAGAAAACTTGTCATGTGAATCCAAATACCTCGAGAGTTACCAACTTTATTTTTAATATTTCTCTGAGCAGGAAGAGGGGCAGCAGCCTTATTTATTTAAAACATTTTTACGCCACCTTTCCACCCGATTAGGGTCCCTGAGGCCTTTCCCACTGGTGGTGAAGGGACGTGATGGCATGCATCAGAAAACAACTTGCCTTCAGAGCCAGTTTGGTGTAGTGGTTAAGTGCGTGGACTCTAATCTGGGAGAACAGGGTTTGATTCCCCATTCCTCCACTTGCACCTGGCTGGATGACCTTGGGCAAGTCGTAGTTCTGATAAGAGCTGTTCTTGAAAAAGAGCAGTTTCTGTCAGAGCTCTCTCAGCCCCACCTACCTCACAGGGTGTCTGTTGTGGGGAGGGGGAGGGAAAGGAGTTTGTAAGCCACTCTGAGACACCTTTGGGTAGTGGTGGGCAATGTTCCCTCTAAGCTGTGGAGTCTTGTGAGCAAAAATTCTACTTTGTGAGCTACTGGCATTAAAGTTGTGAGCGAGCAATTTGGCTACTGTTTGCTCTGGAGCCATCCTTCCTGAGCTAAGACAAAAAACTGTGAGCCGGAGGTTAAAAAACTGTGAGCTAGCTCACACAAACTCAGCTTAGAGGGAACATTGGTGGTGGGGTATAAATCCAATCTCTTCTTCGTCTTCTTACACCCTAACCATACACAAAGGCCACGCCCAGTCTCAAAAGAACGATCACGGGATAAACAACAATGATTTGGGGAGGATCATTCAAAGGTCTCTGATTTCTTTGCATGTTAAAAGTCAGCAGAAACCTAAACACCTTCCAACACCCTCCTGATGACAATTCCAGAGGCCTAGCTGGGTTAGTCGGCTACAGCAAAAACAAGGCAAGGTATCCGGTGGCACGTTACGGAATGACAACATTTTATTCCAATGCAGTCCACAAATATTTATGCTTGATTAAAAACATCACCAAATCCTTAAAGTGCCACATGACTCTTGCTTATTTTGGCAACACGATGGGACTCTTGACTAACCTCTCTTTCATCTGTAATACAATAAAGAGGAGTCCTCTTTCTGGTGGGTTAACAGTTCAGTGACCCAAGGAGAGTCAGGTAATAAAGGTTGCATAAGACATGATGCCAAGAAATTTTGTGCATGGCTTTTAAAAACTTGATAGCAACTTGGTGTGGGCATGCACATGTGTGAGAGGAGTGGATGGGCTGACATGCCATCTCCATTATCCCATTTAAATGCACGCTCATACTCAGCTCAGCTGCTATGCATGCTCAGCAGGGAAAAAAACCCTCAGGTTGCATACCATTAAAAAAAAAAAAAGCCAACACCACCAACAGTGGAAATCTGATCAGGGATCTCCTACCATCTTGTTTAGCTGTACCCCAAGAGTAGATGAAACATCCTGGAATTCCTTCAGCTAGACAGTGGTATTTTATCTGGATACAACAGACTCTGATTTCAGTTATGCTCAAAAGGGAGCTCAGGCAGAGCAGGAGAGGAGGAGAGGCAAGGAGCAGTCATAAGAACATCAGAAGAGCCCTGCTGGGTCAGACCAGCGGTCCATCTAGTTGAGCATCCTGTCTCACACAGTGGCCAATCAGTTCCTCTGGAGGGCCAACAACAGGGCAGAAAGGCCGAGGCCTTCCCCTGATAAGAACATCAGAAGAGCCCTGCTGGGTCAGACCAGTGGTCCATCCAGTCCAGCATCCTGTCTCACACAGTGGCCAACCAGTTCCTCTGGAAGGCCAACAACAGGGCAGAGAGGCAGAGGCCTTTCCCTGATAAGAACATAAGATGAGTCCTGCTGGATCAGACCAGTGGTCCACCTAGCCCAGCATCCTGTCTCACACAGCGGCCAATCAGTTCTTCTGGAGGGCCAACAACAGGGCAGAGAGGCAGAGGCCTTTCCCTGATAAGAACATCAGAAGAGCCCTGCTGGGTCAGACCAGTAGTCCACCTAGCCCAGCATCCTGTCTCACACAGCGGCCAGCCAGTTCCTCTTGATGGGCAACAACAGGGCATAGGGACCGAGGCCTTCCCCTGATAAGAACATCAGAAGAGCCCTGCTGGATCAGACCAGTAGTCCATCTAGTCCAGCATCCTGTCTCACACAGTGGCCAATCAGTTCTTCTGGAGGGCCAACAACAGGGCAGAGAGGCAGAGGCCTTTCCCTGATAAGAACATCAGAAGAGCCCTGCTGGGTCAGACCAGTAGTCCACCTAGCCCAGCTGACAGCGGCCAGCCAGTTCCTCTTGATGGGCAACAACAGGGCATAGGGGCCGAGGCCTTCCCCTGATAAGAACATCAGAAGAGCCCTGCTGGGTCAGACCAGTAGTCCATCTAGTCCAGCATCCTGTCTCACACAGTGGCCAATCAGTTCTTCTGGAGGGCCAACAACAGGGCATAGAAGCCAAGGATTTCCCCTTTGTTGCCTCCTTGCACTGTTATTGAGACATTTACTGCCTCTGAACATGGAGATTTTGTTGCACAGATTTTTTTTTAGAAGACAACGCCTGCCCTAAAAAAAAAAAGTGCAGCTATTTCTCCAAGGCCATTTAGTCATCTACAAAAAAGACAGGTTGCTTACCTGTAACTGGTGATCTTCGAGTGGTCATCTGTGCATTCACACCCTTGGGATACTCTGCGCCTGCGCTGACCTTCTCGGTACCGATAGCTAGCAAAAGGGATTTTCGCGCCTCTCCCAGGTCACGCGCCGGCTCCACTGCGCATGACCAAGGAGGGGCACGCAGATCCCGCCAGTTCCTTCTGACCGCCGCCCAACAGCCTTCAAAGAAACAAGATGAAGGGCCGAGAGCAGAGGGGAAGGAGGGCGGGTGGTGTGAATGCACAGATGACCACTCGAAGATCACCAGTTACAGGTAAGCAACCTGTCTATCTTCTTCGTGGTCTCTGTGCATCACACCCTTGGGAGAATAGCAAGCAATAACTCTTACCTGGAGGAGGGGCCGAGGCCCTACACCTGCGCCGTCTGCAAAATAGACCGACCCAACGCCACACGACGAGTAGACCGGACATCAAGGGCATAATGCTTCACGAAGGTGAGCGGAGTAGCCCAAGTCGCAGCGTTGCAGATGTCCTCCAATGGCATCCCTCTCAGGAACGCTGTGGAAGCCGCCACCGCCCTTGTAGAGTGGGCACGAAGTTGACCTGGAAGAGGTCTCTTAGCCAAAGCGTAACATAGCTTGATTACTTCCACAATCCATCTGGACAGCGTCTGGGAAGAGATCTTCTTCCCCAGGGAGGGCATACTGTGAGCAACAAACAAAGCTGGAGACTGGCGAAAAGACTTAGTCCTGCCCAAATAAAACAGCAACGCTCTCTTAACATCCAGAGAGTGCAATTTCCGCTCCTCTTCATTGGCAGGAGACGGGAAAAATGACGGCAAAACTATATCTGAACGTAGATGAAACTCCGAAACGACTTTCGGTAAGAAGGAGATGTCCAAACACATCGGCACCCCTTGAGGGGAAAAATTCAAGTATGGTGGATCACACCGTAGAGCGGACAACTCACTGACTCGACGAGCAGAAGTAATGGCCACCAGAAACGCAGTCTTGAGCGATAACAACTTTAGAGAGCAAGTGGCCAGTGGTTCGAAGGGTTTTCCCATCAAAAACCGCAAAACTAAAGCCAAATCCCAGGCCGGAGTCGGAGAACGACGGGGAGGGTACAGGCGAATAAGACCTTTACAAAACTGTTTCGTCTGAGGATGCGAGAAAACTGAAAACCCATCAATAGATGGATGAAAAGCTGACACCGCAGCTAAATACACCTTAACTGAAGAAAAACTGAGTCCCAAGTCCATTCTGGACAAAATAAACGCAAAAATAGACCTCAAATCCACTGGCGGAGGAGGTAAATTGGAAGAACTCAAGTACTGTAGGAATAAATCCCACTTCTTTGCGTAAGACGTCCTAGTAGACAGTTTACGACAATTCAACAGGACCTCATTGATACGGTCATCCATCACTGAAAGCGTATTTCCCATAGAGTCAACTTGAGACTCAGAGGATCGTAGTGAAGGACCTGGCCTTCCTGAGCTTGGAGGAGATCCAACTCCTGCGGGAAGTGTACGAAGGATCCCTTGGCTAACCGCAGCAGTGTCGGAAACCACACCTGCCGAGGCCACCAGGGGGCTACCAGGAGACAATGGGGCTTGTCCTGTTGTATTTTCACAAGCACCCTGTGGAGCAGCGGAATCGGAGGAAATAGGTATAGAAAGTCGTGAGCCCACGACATCAACAGACCGTCCCCCATTGACAGAGGGTCCAACCCCGCTCTGGAGCAAAACCTGGGACACTTCTTGTTCAATCGAGTTGCAAAAACATCGATGTGGGGATGTCCCAGATGTTGAAAAAGAGGAAGGAGATACTTTGAGTTCAACTCCCATTCGTGGTCCGATGCTCCCCCTCTGCTCAGGAAATCCGCTTGTTGGTTCAAAGTTCCTGGCAGATGGGCAGCTTGGAGAGTGATGTTCCAATGAAGGCACTCTTCCCATATGTCCATAGCTAGCCTGCAAAGGGACCTGGACACGGTCCCGCCCTGGCGATTGATATAAGCCATCGCAGTTGTGTTGTCCGTAAAAATCAACACAGCTTTTCCTACAACCTGTCTGAGTAAGGATCTGAGGGCAAATTTTACGGCCAGCAGTTCCAGATAGTTGATATGATGACTCTTCCAAAGGGGTTGCCATGGAGCACCCACACAAGTGTCGTCTGTATGAGCACCCCAACCCCACAGGGAGGCATCTGTGGTGATGGACATTACGGGAACGATCGGTTGGAACGGTGCACCCGCCAACAGATTGGTGTCCACGAGCCACCACTGCAGGGAGACGAGGACCTGCGGAGGCACTACCAGTTGAAGGCTCGGAGGATGGATGGAAGGGCGAAATTTCTTTAGAAACCACAGCTGCAACGGGCGCATGCGAAGGCGTGCATATTCGATCACGGAAGTGGTGGCTGCCATGAGACCCAAGATCCGCTGAATGTGGACCGCTGATGTCACGTTGGACTGGAACAAACGTTGAATTTCCAGACGAATGGTATCTGCCCGTTGGCGAGGAAGGTACGCCCGAGTGGCTAGGGAGTCTATGACAGCTCCTATGAACTGCACGCGAGTTGCAGGTTGCAGCATGGATTTCTGTAAATTCACCAGAATTCCAAGGGAGGATAGGACCGACAATGTGATGGTGATGTGCTGAAGGAGACATTCTCTTGAATCTGCCACCATCAACCAGTCGTCTATATACGGAAAGATCTGAATGCCCTGAAGGCGAAGATGAGCGACGACAACCACCATTACCTTCGTAAAAACCCTGGGGGCGGTAGAGAGCCCGAATGGAAGGGCTTTGAATTGGTAATGGTCCTCCCCGACTGCGAATCTGAGGAACTTTCTGTGACGAGGATGGATGGAGACGTGAAAATAAGCGTCTTTGAGATCTAAAGTGACCATCCAAGTCCCTGGAGACAGGAGTGGTAAAATGCTTTGCAACGTGGTCATGCGAAACTTTCTGTAAATGATGAACCGATTGAGAAAACGAAGGTCCATGATTGGACGAAGTCCTCCGTCCTTCTTGGGGACCGTGAAATATTTGGAATAAATCCCGCGGCAACAATCCGCCATCGGGACTTTCTCTATAGCGTTTTTTTGTGTCAGCGATTGTACCTCCTGTAGCAGGGCAGGAGACGCCGGGGTTCTGATAAAACGGGAGATTTTGGGAGTCAGAGAAAACTCTATGAGATAGCCATCTCTTATTATAGAGTGCACCCATTTGTCCGTAGAAATGGCGAGCCATGCGTGCAGGAAGGGTGCAAGGCGAGTCTGAGCAGTAAGGTTGAAGTCAAAGTCCCTGTTTGGGATTCTTAGGGAATTTCGACTTATAGGCACCGGACGATTGTCCCTTATTTTTCGGGGGAAAAGACCGTGACTGAGAGGGAGGTCTTTGCCATTGATCCGTAGGTGATTTGTTGTACGGTTGCCTGGTCGACCAAGGTTGCCTAGGCCACTGCTTGGATTTCGAGTATTTGGTCGTGGGGGAGATCCCCAAACTCTTGGACGTCTTGATACTCTTATCCATTTCCTGCAGAACCGTGTCAGTGGTGGAGCTAAACAATCCAGAACCTTCAAAGGGAAGGTCTTCCACCGAGGATCTGGTGTCATATGGCAATGATGAAGAGCGGAGCCAGGCATGTCTGCGTAACGCTACAGAGGTTGCTAGAGTCTTACTAGCGGATTCCAGGGAATGCTTGGCAGCACTAATTTGGTGTCTAGCCAAGACCATCCCTTCATTCTGAATCCTTTTAATCTGAGGTTGGCACTCTTTGGGCACGTGCGGGAGGAAATCATTCAAACGCTTCCATAAATTGAATTGATAACGGCCCATGCAGGCGGCATAGTTCGCCGTTTTAATGCCCATTGCACCGACAGTGTAGAATTTTCTACCAACCGAATCCAACTTTTTTCCTTCTTTGTCTGATGGAGTAGAGTGGCTCGCTTTTCCTTTCGTGGACGAGGAAACGACCAAAGAATTGGGCTTAGGATGTGTGTATAAAAACTCAGCCCCTGATTCCTGGACCTTGTACATGTGATCCAGACGCTTATTAGAGACATTAATGGAGGCTGGACGAGTCCAAAAGTCCTTGGTAGTTTGCAAGAGAACTTTTGTCATTGGTAGAGCCACGGAGGGCGAAGTGTTAGAGTGCATAATGTCAAAAACGTTATCATCCACAAAACTGGCAACGAGAGTAGGAGTCATAGATAGATCTAATGCCATGCGTTGAATAAAATCTCCATAAGACTTAACATCCTCTGATGGAGAAATAGGTAAATCCGCTTCCACATCTTGCGAGGTGGGCTGTGCATCTACATCCTCGATATGTTCAGAAAAGCCATCTGAATCGGAGGATACATTGGATGGTTCTGGAGATGATTCGAGTAATTCAGGTTGAGACGGTGCCGGTGTGTTAATCGGGGGCACAACCGGGTCTGGTGGATGCGTCGGTATCGACTGCTTCGATACCGATGGTCGATCTTGAAAGCGCGAAATGCGGGATGACACCGACTGACGATCCCATTCAGGTGGGGGTGGTATCGGGAGTGCCCAAGGGTATGGGTATCGATTCCCGTACAAATAATGCCATTGCCTCTCATCCCAAGTCAGGGGAGGAGAAGTTGGTCGGTGCCGATCCTCGACTCCACGTTCTGGGGAGGCATGAGAGGATTGACGGCTCGACATATCAGATTGCGACTGATTTGTCTGTTGAGTAAGGTCGATGTCGAGATCCGAACCGATCGGGTGAGGTTCTTGCGTGGGATCTCGACCCTGACTAGCCGAAACCTTATGGACTTTGGGTTTGTCCGTTTTAGGTTTCTTCGACTGCTGTGAGTCTTTGCCCTGCTTCCGGATCTTGGAAGGTACGGCAACGGATGACCCCTGCTTCCGGATCTTGGAAGGTACGGGGTGGTCCTTTATCGGCGTCGATCTTTTCGGTGCCGAAGCATCGATTGCGACCGTCGACGTCGATGATCCCGGAACGGGAGGACAAGTGTCCGCAGCCAAGGTAGACATCGAGGCGTGCCCGGACGTGTCTAACGGCGAAGAGGACTGTGGAGATAATGCCTTCTCCATCAGGGCCAAGTGTAGACGAGCTGCTCTGTTTTTTCTCGTCTGGTTCGAAAACTTTCGGCAATGTCTGCACTTAGAGACACAGTGCGACTCCCCTAAACAAACGAGGCAAAGCGAGTGCCCGTCGGTGGGGGATATTTTAAGGCCGCAAGTCCTACACCGTTTGAAACAACCCCACCGCGGGGCCATAGGCCAGCGGGAGGGGAACGAAAATAAAGAATAAACACCGAAAGAAAAATGCTAACTACAAAAATAAAGAAAGAGAAACTAACTAAACGCAAGTTTAGCAAAAAAAGTTGGTACTTAGCAGACCGAGGCAGAAGGCGTCCTACCAGCGCGGCGGTCAGAAGAGAACTGGCGGGATCTGCGTGCCCCTCCTTGGTCATGCGCAGTGGAGCCGGCGCGTGACCTGGGAGAGGCGCGAAAATCCCTTTTGCTAGCTATCGGTACCGAGAAGGTCAGCGCAGGCGCAGAGTATCCCAAGGGTGTGATGCACAGAGACCACGAAGAAGATGAAGAGCTTCTACGAACAGCGGACCTTCTATGTGGAGTTTGTGAACAGGCTTGGTCATGGAAATTAGCCTGACCACAAAAGCCCACGCAGAGTGGAGCCGCATGTTAGGATACAATGGGACCCCTATCTAAAAAATGGCAGCTTCCAGCCGAACACTCTGCAATGTGTAGACAAACTTACCCATGTCCTGACATCATCACGCTGCCCATTCCCCTGCCTCCGCTCCACGTCATTGGCTGCTGCTGACGAGGGCAAGGCAACACACAACATGACAACGTCAGAACACGGGGACGGTACCGTGCAATCCCGCACAGAGAGAAGTCAAAACAAACTTGTCGGAATAAGGTTCTAACGCTTCAAGTAAAAGACACCGTCTTACATCTAAAGCCAAATTAAGCTAAAAAGTAATATTGAGTTTAACTCTGGCTTTGACTGTAAATCGCAGCCAAAAAAAGGAAAAATCTTATTATTTTGGGAAAAGACAACAACGTTCCTCACCTGAGAGATACCATGTTTCCTAGTTCTGCTGGTAAACTTCTGAGTTTGTTGGACGATAGATCCAGGTAAACCAGATTATGAAGCTTGGCAATATCAGGTGGAATGCGAGTCAGATAGTTGTCATTGAGGTGTAGAGCAGTCAAGTGCGTTAGCGACCAAAGTGATGTACTTAAGCTCCGCACTCTACCTAAAATGAAGAGTGCGAAGATGGCATTTAATCGCTGTTCTTATATAGGGCTTTAAAAGATTACTTCATTCTGCTTTTGCATGAACACATGAAGCTGCCATCTACAGAATCAGACCCTCGGTCCATCAAGGCCAGTATTGTCTACTCAGACTGGCAGCAGCTCTCCAGGTTCTCAGGCTGAGGTCTTTCACATCACTTCCTGCCAGCTTCTTTAACTGGAGGTGCCGGGGATTGAACCTGGGACCTTCTGCGTCCAAAGCAGATGCTCTACCAATGAGCGATGGCCCCTCCCTGAAGAAGATTCCCCAGGGTTTTTTTCCTCATCTTCCCATTACAGGCCAGGGCAAAATAAGGAAAATAAGGCAGCTGGGGTGAGCTGGGAAGGGAAATCACCTTCCCCTTCCAAATTTTCCAGCCCCCTACCCTTTTCACACCTCTAGCTCTTCACAAGCCTTCTGCCCCTACCATCATAAGGTGACCCTTTCAGGCGTTTCATGAGGATGTCCACGTATCACCTAATACTGCAAATGGCTCTTAAGTCAAATGATGGCCAACAAATCTACGTCAGGCATCGTGACTTGCCATAGAGCAATGGGCTTGCTATCAAGTATGTGTTAAACCATTCATAACCTCTTGAGGCAGGTGGGTAACTTTTTAAATCTACTCTTAGAAAACATAGAGCTGGAAGGGACCTCACCTAGTCCAACCCTCTGCACAATGCAGGAAATTCACAACTACTCCCCCCAGTGACCCCTGCTCACCCGAGATTTCCAACTCTGCCCAATGGGACTTCTTCCCATTGGCTACCTCCTCAGCTGACATGATGGTGTAAATTCTGCGAGGATCTGGAGGATCATATTTTTCCTTTGGCATCCCTGTTAGTCTGAAAGAGAAACCACACGATTGGTACAACACACATTTCTCATCACAAAACGGCCCACTGAAAGTTATGACTCTCAGACAGTCCCCGTTAGATTCAGCAAGCTACAGACCTACATTTAACTTTTTCGTCTACAAGATCTATCTTAAGATAGGCCAAAAGAGAAGTGATACAGAAAGAGGGAGGCTTGATTTTGAAATGGCAAAAAGAGTTGAGGGAGGGAGCATCAAATGTACCCCCTCCCCCCAAAAAACACCCATGCCTTATACCTCCTAGTAGTTTTTCTCCCCAGGCGTTTGTTCCTTCAGCTAAGCTCCAAAAACAGAAGCCAATCTTGACTTGGTGAAAAATATTTATCAGGAAACATGCACCAGACAGGGGAAGGGTTTAACAGCAACAACTCACACACCTCTTTTTGCTATCAAAAAATGACATGCTTGACCTTTCTCTTTCTGTGTGATCGCCATGGTATCATCTAGGGTGGACTTTAATCAAGCAAGCGGAGTAAGGGATCAGACCAAACAAACAAAAAAAGCAGCTGCCCCAGCAAGTAAAGCTATGCTTTGTTCATCAATCTTGTTTTTAAAAGATTAAGAGTCACAGATAGACATCCAGGCAAATGCAGACAACCCAGTGATGTTTACAAGTTAAAGACAAGGGAGAATGAAGAGCCTCAAGATTGATTTCAGAATGCAGTCTGATTTCCCATTCTACAATTTAAATTAACAGGATTATTACATGTAAAATCTATGGCTGTGATCCTACGAATGGGTTCTGTGCACACCAGAGAGTGTGCTTCCTCCTGCACTGGCACTTCTGTTCTGCACAAGGGCTCAATGAACACCACTGATCTTGTCCAAAAGGAAGAGCTAGTCCAAGAAGGAGCGTGCACCACAGCAGAGGCTCCCTAGTGTGCGCACGACACGTTCACAGAATCCAAGCCCACGTCTCCAAAACGGGTCACATGAAATTTACTGTATGGCCAAAAACGGTTTATTCAAGCAGTCCACTACAATACCTGAGTACAGGAACAATTCTATGGCAATTTATTTGACATTGTCTTTTCCCCCTACTGAGAAATATGTTCTTCCAGGGAGAGTTTTCTACCTGAAAAGTTTTTCTAGAGATTTTAAAGGGTTCCGAACAAACCAAGAAGAAAGATAGGGCTAATTTTTAAAGCACGCATACAGTCATAAATTAAACAAAGGCAGTAAAACCTTTAAAAACAATCGTGAGATTGTTTGCCAGCATTATAATTATACTAGCAGATGGGGGTTGCTTTTCTTTAGAACACTGATAAAATCTTACAAATAGGAACGGTCTAGTTTTCAAGCGCCCTCACACAACCCCGCCCCCCTTCCCAGAGGCACTGTGAAGCCCTAGGCACAAAAGCATAAATCGTTCTTCCTAGGGGAGGTTTGAGATCAAACACATAACGCACGCACACACCCCTTCCATATCGGCCAGTGTGTGTAACTTTCTAAAGCAAAAGTGTTTAAAACAGAGACATTTAACAGGAATTCCTTCAAAGACCCCATTACTCAGCAGTCCGGTATTATCTTGATGTTTTGCACCTTTTTGATCTCTAACCTAATGTGGTGTACAGGTACACAAAGGCAGCACCACTAATTGGGTAAACGTGGTCAAATTCCAATACTTTGTTGGAAAGTACAACCACCTCTGGCTAGCTCTCTAAGTGAATGTGATGTCGTCACCGCTCCTAGCACATCGCCCATACTGCATCCTGTTTAGCACACACGTGTTCATTCAAAAGTAAGGCCCTCTGATCTCAATGCAACTTATTCCAAACTTCCCACACACTGTAAGTTGGCAGGAGCAGAGGGACGGCAACTGTCACAGCAGAGAAGGGATCTCAAACCAGACCTTCCTAGTTGTGCTACAACTCCTGAAGCTACAAGAGTGGAAGGGAGACAGCATTTATCTCATATACACACTGACCTGGATGGTCCAGGCTATAGCCTGATCTTGGTGGATCTTGGAAGCTAAGTAGAGTTGGCCCCGGTTAGTACTTAGATGGGAGACCACCAGGGCCAGGCTCACAACTCAAGATATGGGCAACGGCAAACCACCTCTGGACATCTCTTGCCTTGAAAACCCTACAGGGTTGTCATAAGTAGGCTGCAATTTGACGGTTCTTTCCACACACACGAAATTTTAATGGAAAATGTCCAGTTCAAACGGCTATGTCTTCTGTGAAAAGAAGTCAACAGAGATGTCTGTACACACTACAGGACAAGAGAGCTGTACAGGCCATTTATCGTATTACTATTATCAGTGGATGCCATTTCAGTGGATTGGTGATTCTTTTAGACTGAAAGGTGGACTTTTATTGATTTATATTTATTTATTATTTCTCTTTGTATCCTGTCTTGCTGGGCACGCTGGCTCAAGGCGGCTAACAGAGTTAAAATAACGTAAACAATACAGAGTTAAAATGATTAATAAATACAATACCAAGTTAAAACAGCAACAGTTTACAAGTAAAACCGACAGATGGTAGTGATAATCCAAGTCACACCCAATGATAGGAGTAGCATCCAGCGAGGTCTCAGGCCAGAAATCTAGAACATCTTCTGGCCTGAGACTTCTCTGGATGCTTTTAAAAGTAAATCTAGCATTCCACCCTTCCGCTGACCAAAGCTATTAGTCCTAATTCAAAATAGGTACATGTTACAATGTTCCCATTCAAAGGCTTTGGGGAGCTATAATAATTTGTAACGGACTTCCGGTCGACGGAACAGCGATGGCGGATGCTCTCCTCACAACAGGGGAGGGCGAATCACACACCAGCGGCCTGGAGGGGTGCCACCTCAAGTGACACCCCCGTGGAGCCTTTGCGATAGGCTCCAGGCCAGGGGGCTTTTGAGGGGTAGCCTCTTCGATGGCATAATGCCAGAGAATTGAGGCTCCCCTCTGCCTCGACGGTCCAGTCGCTGAGTGGCCTTCGGGCATAAGCTGGACTGACCGGGACAAGCGCCGGAGATCGAGCGGAATGGCGTAAAACCGAGTGTGGTCAGATAAACTGGCCCACAATGAACGTGAGTTCTGAATAAGAACGGAGTAGTTTGAAAAGTGATCCCCCCCCCCCGCGATTGGAAACAGAGATTGCAAAGAGGGACGCCTCTTTTGCGAATGAGCGGTTAAGACACGAGGGGGGAGAGGGGAGGAAGTAAACCGAAAGTGTTTTGAGAGACTTATCTGAATTGCGAAGTCGTTTAGCGAGTTTTCCGAGTTGTGGGGAAGCGACAGAAACTGTAAACAAAATGGGAAATATGGCTGCCCAGCAAAGAAAGTTTAAAACGAAGCCCGGCAGGCAGAGTCCGAGACCGGAAGAAGGAGCAGATGTCCTCAACCCCCTGGCTGATATGCTCAAGCGGGTGATGAAACAACTTGATGGTATTAATCAGCAATTGACTGTGATGAATAAAAACTTTGCGGCACAGCAGCTTCAGCTGAACGAGACGGAGAAAAAAGTGGAGCAGGCAAACGAGAAAATTAAAGAGACTGACACCACAAGTAAGAAGTTGAAGAAAAGGATGGGAGAGGTGGAAATTAAGCAGAATTGCCAAGAGAATCGAGTCTTGCAGCTTCAGATGGAAAAAGCTAACATGATTCTCAGGTTTCAGGGGGTTCCTGAAATGGATCGGGAAGACTTGAAGAGGGTGCTCAGTGAGATCATCGCTCCAGTAGTAGGCTTAACAGCGGATGAACTGGTAAACAAAATGGAGACAGCCTATAGGGCTTACTCCAACTATATTAAAAAAAATAGCCTACCTGGAGAAATAGTGGTCAAGTTTTCAAGAAGACAAACCAGAGATGCCATTTTAAAAGCAACATCAGCAACTCCACTGAAAATGGGAAATGTTACCATTAAAACTTTAAAGGACATTCCATTTGAAATTAGACAAAAGAGGAAAAATTACAAGGAATTAATTTCTTTTCTTCAAACTAATGGAATATCGTACAGATAGGCGGTTCCGGAAGGTATCATCTTTAAGATCAACGATAGAAGGGAGAAGATAGACTCCACTTTTAAAGCTAAAGAATTTTTGAAACGTCAGCTGGGGACAGATGATGAGTCTAAAGAGGGAGAATCGAAGTCGAGTGACTCTGCTACCTCGGGAACGGAAGAGGATTCTGTGGCAGAAAAGGGTGCAGAACCTGCCAGAGTGGTATACGATTTTAGAGACAGAAAGCCGAAGTAAAGGCAGAAGGACTTTGAAAATGGCCTTTTGAAGCAAAGAATAAGAAGATGATCAGAGACTTCTCTCGTAACAACTAACAAAATAACATACAAGAAGCGAATTGTTATAAGCAAGAACTCAACAAGTATATTGTGATAATAAAACTAATGGTACTAACATATTTACTAACAGTGAAAAGATCTCCTTCTCTTGGGGTTTTAGTTTGGTGCTTTTCTTTATCCCTAGTTGTAGTCCCTCCCCTGTATTTCTTTGTAGTTTGTAGTATATGCAAAATAAAAAATATCCCTACGGGGATTAAAAAAATAATAATTTGTAACAAGGTTTGGTTAAAACATGTTCATGACATACACTCGCACAACAGTTTGACCTTTGCATTTTGTGAAGACAAAACTATCCTCAAGGACACACAGACTTCCAAGAACAACTTTGAAAGGCGAGTTACCCAAACAATTACATTCTGGTATCTATTTATCAGAAGCATTATTGTGTCCAGGATCAGAGGCACCAGTTCTCCCCAAATAGCTACTATCTTTTCTGAACACATTTTAAAGGGAAAACAGGTTCTTGTGCCTTTAATCGGAGAATGGGAAATTTCCACGAGGACACCTTAGGGAATGTTGCAACCCGAAGCAGGAAGAAGCTATGCCTGCAGAAATCCCCCATCCTTGCTTGCAAAACTACTTTTAAGATATGGTCTGAGCCAAATCTCACATCTGAGTTTCACCCATACCTAACTCATCTGAGTTTCTAGGAACAGTAAGCAGTATGGAAAGAACA